CTCTCTCTCTCTCTCTCTCTCTCTCTCTCTCTCTCTCTCTCTCTCTTATTATTGCCTCTTTTTGGATATTAAATATAAAAATAACTAGCATAATGAAAGGTGGATCTCTGAGTTCAATTATCTATTAATTCCAACAATTTCATATTTAGAGTCAACGCATCAGTTTTGTAATAATAAATATTGCAAGTAAAATTAAATCCATAGAGCATTTTTCTTGTATTTTTATCAGATCCTTGATAGATTTCTTTTTTATTTTATGGGTTTATCTTTCAACGCTTTTGATTCAATGTGCTGAAATATGAATTATTGAATTATGTTCATGACGCAATAACAGGATATCACTCAAAATATATTATATGCCTAAAAAAATGGAGAGGAAGAGGAGAGAGAAAGGCATAAGATATGCCCTATTTTCTCTATTCCTCTACAAAGTATCATTTTTTAATATAATAAGCGTAATGAAAGGTAGATCTCTAGGTTTAATCCATTGATGCCAACGACTTGATATTCAAAATCAATGCATTAGTTACATAGTGATAAATATTATAAGTAAAATTAAATCCATAGAGCATTACTGCATTTTTCTTCTTGTATTTTTGATCCTTGTAAATTTTTTTTATTTTATGGATTTATCTTTCAACGCTTTTGATTCAATGTGCTGAAATATGAGTTATTGAACCATGTTCATAACGCAATAACAGGGATATCACTCAAAATGTGTTATATGCCTAAAGAAATGGAAGGGAGGAGAGAGAAAGGCATAAGATATGCCGCATTTTCTCTATTCCTATACAAAGTATCATTTTTTAATATAAGCATAATAAAAGGTAGATCTCTAGGTTTAATCTATTGATGCCAACGACTTGATATTCAAATTCAATACATTAATTACGCAGTGATAAATATTGCAAGCAAAATTAAGTTTGATACCTGTGTACGCAAAGAAACAGATGTCCATAGAGCGTCTCTTGGTTTTTCTCCTTGTATTTTTATTATCAGATATATATATATATCATTATGCATTTACAGTATTCAATAAATTTTTACAAATGTGCAATGATGTGGGGAATAACAAACTTAGAGATCCTCCCATTCCACCCCCAATACTATCACTACTGCTCATACATCTTATACATGTAACGTTAGTCAGAGTCCTCACTGTAGCTTCAAACACGTAGTCGTCGCTCATGATCGAGTTTACACGACAATGAGAATTGGTACGCGCGAATATACCTTTAAACATACGACATTCTCCGCTACAACTGCCTCTGATGGAATAGTTGATCACGTTTATCGAGTGACGATACAGACAACGTAATCGTAAGCATCATATACTCAAGTACTAAATGCTCTTCATATAAAATGTACAAAGATCTGCATCGAAAGCTTCGTTATCAGCGCAACGACAAATCAATAATCATATCACGGTATAATAACGCTATAATAAAGGAAAACCACGAAAACGAATACGTGTGCGTAACGCTAAAGACGTTCGCGCAACAACCGCGACAGTAAAAAAATATATATGTATATATTATATGTATAACGACTCAAAAGAAAAAAAAAAGGAAAATTGCGAAACGAACACTTGATAGCTTCGAGACACTATCGATTATCTAATTCGTAACTTCGATCCAATCTTTCCCTCGAAATACGTGCACGCCCTGCCAGAAGTCAATAAGTTGTAATACATGAATCTTCCCTTTAAACGGTTGAAACAGCGAGACAGTCACATCATCATGAAATGCTTTCGTGATCTTCGCGGAGGCGATACTCAACGCATAATTTCAGATCCATCTGGCAGATGAAGGATGCATTTATTGTACAAATGTCGGGACGTATTCTTCGCGAGTACGATTAACGAGTAATAAAAATATTAAGACATAATTCACAAACAGAGAATGTATTGTACGTTCACCATGTGGAACCGGACGATGAGTGTGTTAGTAGAGTTTCTTCATCTGTGCCTCCTTATTGTCCCTGTAGATGAGAATCGTTAGTCTTTAGATAAACCTGCTTTTCTCTCTTATAAAATGACGTTCATATCGTGCATAATTACCGATAGAGACTGTATCCCAATAATATTAACATTTGTATCCCGATGAATAGCAAGAACATGCTGACCGTTAAACAATTGGTACTAGGACATTCTGTCTGCCTCATTTGTTTTTTCAACGTGTTTAACCCATCTCGCATCTCAGTTATGAGCGATTGATAATCGTATCCCATCGGCTGCACCTATGCAATTTTTTTATATTAACAACGCCGCCAAAAAGTTGCGATTACATCGTCACTATTACATTCAGTGAAAAAATATGGCAGTGGCAACTATAAAGTGACAACTATGCGAGTCTTCTATGTAAATTTATAATATAAATGTGCAGTTTTTAATAAATTACTTTTATAGTTTTTGTAGCTAAAGCTTCGTAAAATTACAGCGACCGTAAAATAGTTTATTGTACTGCATACATTAAGGCTCCTGGCTCCTCTCATTGTCTACCTCTTTTTAGTGACGTCAGAAAATGCAAGCTAAAAATTCTTGCAAAATATGTTAAAATAAAAATATATATCCATAAAAGAGCGACATTTGCAATCGATTAAACAAATTTATAAGATATTCCGTGCACTCCCTTTTTGCTCTATCAATAATTTGTTGTAAATTAACGTAACATATAATTCATCTTCTTAACCTGTTTCTTTGCCTATTTCTATTCAGATTAATTTACAATAAATTACTGATTGTTAGAGCAAAAGGAGATTGTACGGAATATCTTACAAATTTGTTTAATCGATTGCAAATGTTACTTTATGGATATATATTTTTATTTTTAACGTATTTTGCAAAAATTTTTTGCATGCAATTTCTTGCTTCTGACGTTATTAAAAAAGAGATAAACAATGCGAGAAGCCAGGAGCCTTAATTCTATACACAAAATTTGTGTAGTTGTCATCACTGTGTCTTTTTCTCTGAGTGCAGAATGGATAAACAATGTAAACCTGTGCCGTTGGAGCGCGCGTTTGATGGTTGAGAATCGACTCAGCTTTTGAGTGAACATCAGTCACGAACGACTTGATTTCCCTGGCTGTGCTCAATATAGCATTTTGATTCGTCAGCACAGCGTCGACTTCCTGACGACGTATAGTGTCGATCAGCACAGGCTGACCCGCGTGGCCACCCGGTACTTGCACACCTAAGATTCACGTGTTTAGATTAAGAAGAAGTCGTTTTCACGCCGATATTAGTGCATGCGTGTAACTCACCGCCCGCTTGAACCTGAGATATCAGACTCAACGTTCGCTCCTGCCTACCGACAACCTCGTCTAACTTCCTGTGAAGCTCGCGCAAAATTTCGAACGTCTGACTTTGACCGTCGAATATCTGTCGTAATTCCCTTTGGTTCTCCGACTCGAAATAGTCCTCGGATACGGTAACCTCCGGATTCTCTCTGTTCAAGTGTCGTCGTTAAAGAGTTATATCTCTCTACGTTGCGATATCGCGTCGTTACAGATGAACGTGTCCTTACTTGCGATACTCATTTTTCTGCTCCTCCATTTTCTTCTGATAATCCAAGTATTCCTGATTGAGTTTGGCCTGTTCTTCTAACGAAACCTTGTGCTTATCCACCGGCAACTGTCCGGGTGGGTACAGAGAGGTAGTTAGGAAGTGCAAAACATCGTGATCATCGGCTAGGCCACCTGCAAAAAAACAATGGTTTGAAATATGTACATAAGAATAATTACGGAGAAAATATATTATCGTGAAAATTATTTTAAAATATATATTATGCCTCTCTCTCTCTCTATGTTTTTGTATAAAGCTAGATTATACTAAAATTATTATATAAATTATTACAGAAATAGTAAATTTTATGATCTACCAAATATATGATACAAAAAACGGTCAATTGCAGTATTTTTTTTAGTAAAAATCAAGCCTGCATAACATTAAAAAAATATATATAGCGATTTCAGTCATGAGATTTCTGTACAGTTCAAAATTATAAAAATTTACTTGTAATTTTTATTATCGTATTTTTTCTTTCTAGTAGTAGTTTTTCTTTTTCTAGTGGATCGTCTCTTTTTTCATATGTATATACATACCAGTAGCAGCGGAAATTCCAAAGTATCCATTCTTCGGTAATATAATGTTATCTATTCGGAAGCAAATGTCGTAATCTTGTTCGTTGTTCGTCATACCGTTGTGGAACAATAGCTAAAACGGAGAATTCATGTCGATTACAGCGTCAAATCGAGAGCGATATAAAAATGACCTCGACTCACGGTCAACGTATTCCTGTAATATTCTATCCGTGCTCGCGTGGCGAATGGTTTATTGCGGAAATCTCGTAAACACCCCGCCAACTGCTGCGTAGAGCCATCACTGTTTTACAACAAGAGATAAAGGACATTTTTAAACTGCTTCGAACACACGTCGTGAAACTGTCGGACGTACTTTTTCAGATGAAATTAGAAGCGTATCATAAATTGTCGCGAACGCGAGCCTACACGATAATTCGTTATAACAGGAGCCAAAATGATAACGGCTGCGCTCAACAGAGAAAGCTGTTTTATAACCGTGGTGAAATTCGTTGATCTGACTGATGTATGCTCTTAATCTTAATTGAATTTAAGAGGATACGCCAACCAGATCGACGAATTTTACATCAGTTGCAAAGCAGGTTTCTTTGCTAAGTGCAACCATCATGGAAGATATCACAATTTTTTAGAATATAATAAAAAGCTAATATATATACACCATGTACTATCACTTCGGTTTTTGTTACAATTGATTGTAAACCAATAAGCAGTGGCTCGTTCGTTTTAGCGCTAACTGTGACTATTTGATACGGCCCTAATTTCATTAGAAAAAATATGTTTAAACCGTTTCATAAACTACTATACATTGGGTTTAAAAACATTTTGCATAATTTTTCTTCGATGCAGGTTGGGACACAGCCAATGATCCAATGAAAAAATTTCTGGAAATTAATATAAAAAATTTCTCACAGAGCTACTATTTTAATAGTAATTTAAACTTAGATTTAAGTCAAACTCTATTCTGACAATATGTTTGATGGGTTTGGAGTTTAAACTATTGTTAGAAAATTAGCCTTCAGTGGATCATCAACTGGGTTCGCGTTGAGATCCAGATACATATGATTAGTTGCCTTCAGTACTATAATCGTCCACTGAGCTCTTGGATTTGGTGTGTACTTTCAGATCTCATCAAGATCTAAAGGTACAAGTTGATAAGATCCAAAAATTCAGAGTGTTCAGCGATCGACTACGTACATTCAGTACAATACAACCGCTTATTGAGCGCTTAATGAGCTGTTGATTATGATTAGTGTATTTTTTAGGTCTAAAAGAATATACCAATCGAATATATAAGCTTACTAAATGCTCAGTGAGCGGTTGTTGTACTGAATGGACACGTTGGAACGACGTGACTCACTTCGTATGATCGAAGTTCTGCATTCCATCGTTGACAATTGCCATAATGTATGGATTGTTGTGCTTATTGTCATTGTCGAAAGAATCGAAGAAAACTCCCAGTCCTGTCCACATGTCCGAACTGCCAAAGACGCTGCCGTTGTAGGCGCCTTTCGCGGTTGTGTACCAGAATGCTAAGCCATCTGCTCCTATCCTGCCACGACCGCTTATGCGGAATAATATCTCCGCCTCCCACCAGTCAAAATTTATGGGTTGCTTTGCCCATATAGCACCTAAAAAATGTTTTCAGACTCATATTATTCAGCTTGTAAGCTCGCCCAAAATTCTCAACTGTTGATTTAGTCAACACTAATTGAGTCTCTTTGCAAGCTATTGCGCAATCCTGCATACCAACCTTTCTGACTCCTGAGTGATGGTGCAACTCTCACATTCTCTGAGCTAGCAATGGCATCTGCAATGCAAAGTACAAGTAGATATACAGAAGGTGTAACTATATATTGGACAATATTGTATTTGTAATCATATATTGAGAGAAAAATGTCTAAAAGATAAAAATATTTATTTATTAGGTGGTTACTAATATCATGTTTACTTAAATCTCTTTCTAAATTCTTTTATTTAAATAGAATCAACAATTGCTTGAAGTTTTATGACAAACTACAGGAAATAAGGAAATATACATATTCCTATTTGACAAGAATGTTCCCTTAATATGAAAATATATATGTTAATGTAAGTAAATATGTTCTTTGTTCCCTCAAAAATGGATATTTCTTTATCTTCAGATACTTTTCTCTCAAAACATATGTGTGGAGTATTGTAGGAGGATGTTTTGACAGACAGCAAGCAAAACATATGTTCAATGAAATTCAATGTATACAGCCGTGTTTTGGGTATGAATATTGCACAATTCTCTCAGACATAGGAGAGGAAAAGCTCTCCTAACATCATAAGCAATATTTCAACGTCTTAGAAAAGAAATAGAGGCTTAGAAAGAGATATCTCATACACAATCCCTGCCATCAGATCCGAGGGGCTGTTTTGCAAGGCAAATCGTGACTGGAAATCAATAATAACGCGAATAATAATACGTTGACATTCTCTAATGCTACACGCTACTCGCCGCATGTTAGTTGACGGGCTTTTTCTGCCGAGGAAACGCGCACGCGAACGTCGACGTCAGTGTTTTTACTCCATCCGGAAGACGCGTGTGATGCGTCGTCATCGCGTCGGGATCGCGATGCACCTGCCGCGCCCAGCCAGACGGCCGTGCTTCCTGGTTGGTTGTGCGAACCGGCACCACGCGTATAACATACGGAACCGCGGGAGTGTAGCGGCGACGGCGGCATCGCGGCGAACGTGGTCGCGCGAAAGGTTATGGCACGGGGCATTGATACTCACTTCCGCCGTATTCCCAGAACGGTACGCTGCCATCCTTCTGCGCGAGGTACGGCGGCTTGAACGAGTACTTGTACTCGAATTTCCTATGCGGCGTCTCGCCGCGGCTCGGCGAGACGGCGCAGCATATTAGAAGGACTAGTAGCCACCTCACTTCGGCGGCCATCTTCATCTCGACTGTCGGTCGGCCGACTGAACGAGACACTCGTCGACGTGCTACGGTCGCGTGTCGCGCGGTATCACGGACGCCGGCGATTGGCCGAAATTCGTCCGATTTTTAGCCGCGATTGGCCCGCGAGCAGTGACGTGTCATCGTCGTGGCCGCATTCCTCAAAGCCGAATGACACTTGACCACTTTTAACTGTTCTTTAACCGATCTTTAATTCGCAGCACGTGGATGAGTTCTTTCGAGTCGTCCCTTCGAGCTCTCGTTTCGCTCGTTCGAGAGGTTCTCTCGTCGAGTGGTTTGTTCGTGTCGCTTCTTCTCACTCTTACTTCTTCCAGCATCCGAATATGCGTCTGTCTTGTTTTCAGTGCAAAAAGTGCGAAAAGTGCAAGCAATACGAACACACTTAAAATCAGCTCCTTTCTCATTGCACTTTCTGTACTCGCGAACTTTCTCCCGCCCTCTTCTTGTCGTCGACGTTCGTCACGTTTTGAGTGCAGAAAGTGTAAAGCGATGCGACACTGAAATATATACTACCTGGAACGCGCGCTACCTCTTAAGTGTTGCGGGATGAGAGAGAGAGCATGCTTGTAGGTCTCGAATAGCGCTCTATCCTTGTCTAGTATAGTCTAGTATTGTCTAGTATAGTCTGCACCAAAAGCTAAGTCGGCTGATTTCTAAACATAAGCTGAATTTCCGAATTAGGAGAACCATCTTTGCTTTGTTCTTCTTAATGATAAGTCAATAAGTGAATACTAATAAATGAGAATAAATATATATTTTTTTTTATATCTTAAACTTTCGTTCATAAACTTAAGTCATTGCCATTCAACCACTGTTTTTCATATTATCTCTAATTTTTAACTTGGATTGTATCACGTTCTCCCCACTCTCTACTATACTATGAACCAAACAAGAATAAGAGAGGAAACAAAGAACTTCTCCCTCATCCCGCACGCCTCAAGAGGCAACGCGCGTTCCAAGTAATATATATTTCAGTGTTGCAACAAGATGACAAGAAACAAATCTAGGCGCTTAAAAAAGTCTATTTGCACATAACTTCCCGTGACTTAATTTTTTGCTGATTTCCAGAGCAATTTGCTTAAGTGTTGTTTTGATCGTTAATGTCGAGAAAAAGCAGTTTGAATCTCGCGACTCGCATGCTAATGCACCCCGATATCCCGCGCACGTGATAAAGTACAATCGGACGGTGCGAAGTGTGCCAGCGGTGCAAAAAGTGTTCCCTCTCCCCCCCGTTTGCGATATCGCCTTTGCGTCGCGCGATTTAAATCGCCATCTGACTCGTGTCTTTAGTCGATGGCACACCTGTGTCCAAGATGGCGTCGCTCATTGACAGCTACGAACAGCAGTATGCTGTTTTGACAGCTGACATCACCGCGAAAATCGGCAGAATAAGGATCCAGAGTGGCGGTGAGTAACTCGTAAACGCGACCGAAAACTCGCCGTGCGTTTGCGTCTATTGCGCGACGACGCGCGTCACGACGATCGGCGCGAAAACATCGTTAAAGCACAATAATCGATATACGTGACGTAACTTGCAGGTGAGAAAAGAGCCCTTATTCAGGATGTGGACCGGCAAATTGAAGAAGCTCAAGAACTGGTAATTAAGTTGTTCACGTTCTCTTCATTGGACTAGAAAAATGCCGAGTCATTGGGTCGCGATTCGCGAACTGTCAAGGGACGGTTGTAATGTAGGGTTAGAATGGCGTTTGAAGGTTCGTTGCGTGTTTTACGCGTATCTTTCTCTATAAAAAATAATAATAATTGTCACGACGCGTTATTCCAGATACGTACAACGACGATTCATTTGAGCAAACCTGTGTATGTACCGGTTCCCGATAGATTCACGCGTGTCGAGAGATAATGTATTCTGTATGCATAATGAAATGAGAGATCAAGTGTTTGATGTGTACAATAGGTTGCAAAACGGTTTAAACACGGTGAAGTTGGGAACTCACCAAGTTGTCACAATTGAGGGTCATTACAGACTTGTGTAATATGATTAATAATACTAAATACTGAGAATACTAAATAGTTAAATAATAGTTAAGAATACTAAATAATAGTTAATAATTGATGATATAATTTCTGGACAAGCTCGTCACACACAGTAATGACTATCAACTTTGGCAGTTTGGTAAGATTTCGATTTCATTGTCTAAACAGTTTGCAACTAAGATCCATGAGATCTATGCTTAGGCTTAGTAGTCATTACTTGAAATTCCCCTTAAATGGGGTATTCAGATTTGAGTTCAGAGTTAGATGAAAGTTTTTCAGTTGAATTGCGACTACAAATATAGTATAATGTTATATATATTATACATATATACTCAACTGAAAATTTCTGATATAACTTTGAGTAAAATTCTGAATTCTCAGATGAGACAAGTTTTGACCGACAACTATTAATATGGTTCTTAGATTCTTATTCAGAGTTAGATTCAGGTTCTTCAGCCGAATTATAATATACGTGACACATTCATACTTGTAGTCACAACTCAATTGAAAAACTCTCATCTACTTTGAATTCAAATTTGAGTATCTCACTTGAGACGAGTTCCAAGTAATAACTACTAATACATGATACTGTACACGGAATACACGAAAGGATTTTCTAACGGATTTTATGAAGACCCTGTAGCCTTAGATTCTTCATACTTGCTTCTTTATGTGAATCCTTGGACCTTTAAATCAGTTTGTCATCGATTGAACTATTGACTTTTCAAATCGATGTTTTTTTAAAAATGTTTGATATTCTTTGTTTTTGCTTTCATTGATAAAGAAGGACAATTAATTTATCTTTCTTAAGCTCTAAATATCAAACAGATAAAAGCTTATTTTTCATCTGACATGAGAAATGGATTTCATTTTAACGAGACTTAAATTTGGAGATTACTGACAACTTTATGGAGATTATTTACAAATATTATTTAGTGTTGAATATTAAAAGTCACGACCGAAGAATTCAATGATTGCGTCAAGGGAAAGTTGCTTCGATATATCGATCAAGATAAAGAGAAAAGGGGAAAAAGATATTTCACGCCACTAGAAATCACTTGTAATCTGTAGCTGGAGCAAATGGAGTTGGAGGTTCGTGGGATGAATGGAACGGCTCGCGATCGGCTACGCAGTCGTGTAGAGAGTCACAGGGCAGAATTGAAGCGCTTGACTCAGGAGTTTCAAACGGCGAAGAAGCCAAGGGAGGACGTTATGGAGATTACCGTGGAGGAATCCTGGGAGAACAATGTGACAGAAGACCAGAAGAAAAGATTGCTGGATGCGTCCGAGAGAATAGAAAGGACAGGACGAACGTTACAGAATGGCTATCGTATGGCGTTGGAAACGGAGGAGATCGGATCGCAGGTGTTGAAGGAGCTGCACGAGCAGCGAGAAACAATACAGCATGGCAGAGGAAGGGCAAGTTGTTAATTTTATGCGTTTATTCGACAATTAAGAAAATATTGGATATCGATATAATGCAGTTTCGTAGTTTTTACTGTTTTCTCTATTTGGTTGCAAATATTTTTACAGTGTGGAAGTACAAATGCCAATGTAGGAAAAAGCAGCAAATATTGTGTCAATAACAAAGAAGAAGTTAAAAAATAAAAAAGTTTTTGTCTTTGATACAGCTGCTTTTACGTACATTAATATTTGTACTTTCATGTTATAAAAGTATTTTGCAATTCTATGTAATCATAATATAGAAAAACAGGAACTATGAAACTACACCGACATCCTTTAATAGCTTTGCTGGATCAACGAGCATGTAATTGATGCTAATAAGAGAAAAAATTGTATATAAAATCATCAACCTGCAAATATATACGTTGTGTTTTGTTTTAGTTACGGGAAACAGATGCGGAGCTAGGACGGGGGTCTCGATTATTGTCGGGAATGATCTACCGCAGCCTCCAGCTGAGGATTATTTTAGCGGCGGTGGCGTTATTACTCACAATTGTCGCTTGCATTGTGATATACTATAGTTTTAAGTCTAAAAGTTAAAGAACGTACACTTTCTTCGGCCGGATGACCGGCTTGTGGAAGCCATATTTATTATCAGAGAATTCAAAATGTTATTTCTATCAAATTGCGAGGTTCGTTAGGTAATTATGTGATCATCATTAACTGTCGTGTCGTCTACTGTCCGACTTGCTCGGACTTGTTTGTCACATTTTGCCTCGACGAGCGACCATCATCGCTGTGTACATCTTATTATCTCAAATTTGAATTTACCTCACGTTGGATGAATCGCGGCTAATATAGAGCAGAGAGAGAGAGAATGTCATTGAACAAGAGAAAAAAAGGTTAACCAATGTTATGTAAGTTTCCTATATAAAAAAAAAAAAGATTGAACATCCACATGGCAGAAAGATGAAGCTTGAAACGGTGCGACCAATGAGTCAATTTGCTGAATCGATGGATGATTACCAAATGCGTTATTCCGAAATGCGCCGCCTGAAAATATTCGGAACGTTGCGAGAAAGATCGCAAAAGCCCTTTGGTACATAACATACATACACAATTGTTATATGAGATGGATATACGGAAGTTTGATTGGTCGGTATCACATCTTGCGTTCTGAAGATACTCCGAATCACAAAGTGTATACGTATGCATACGTATATATATATATATATACATATATATATATATATATATATATATATATATATATATATATATATATACACACATTCCCAGCGAGAAATGTATGTATTAAACGATATCCATTATTTTTGACGTTATGCCGACTGGCGAGCATGTTGAACTGTTATCTCTTCGTGTTCGAGTTAACAGCTACGTGTCATTGTTGTTATTATCCTGCCCGAGTCGAGCTGTGTAATTGTGGATTTTATCAACTAAATGCATTCTACAATCGTGTCTTACGCAGAAAACAACAGCGATTTATCATGTATACTAAGGTCATACGCGGGTAAGGATCGATTCGTAAATACACTGAAAGTATCAAAGGATGCTTATATTTGAGGAAAAAACTAGACGCGCCTAATAATAACTCCTTTTATTACTTGTAATGTTATCATTTACCTTAATAGCCTAAACGGTGCTTTTTTGTCTGCGTTCCTAATGTACCTGTGAAAATGATATATAATAAAAGTATCGAGGGTTAACGAATATTCGATGACAACAGTGGTTTCAGTGTATGTATGTATGCGTGTGTATATGTACGTGTGTGTATGTGAGAGAGAGAAAAAGAGAAAAGAAAAAGAAAGAGAGGCGGCGAGAAGGCGCTTTCCTTCCTTCTTGAATCATCACTTCGATCAGTGCTGGTGCGGGCGAGCAATAACGATCGCTCAGTCTGGTCAGTCCAAATTTTGATAGAGATCTTCTATCTGCGGCTTGAAATACGCTTTCAGTTGAGGCCGTTTCGTTTTCAGCGTTGGTGTTAGAAGACCATTTTGTACGGAAAACGGATCTGGGTGGAGATAAATATCTTTCACCTGCAATCGAACAGTCAATTCGTCAATAAGTGCTTATCACACGCTTAACTTTCTTCTACTTTCGCAAACAATGAGGAATGAAATAAGTATTGATGATGTTTCCGATATTCTCGAAATAGATGGAAAAATAAGAGAAAAGGATAAAGAAGTTAACGTCCTTATTTTGTTGGAAACTATCCTCGAGAAGATTGTTTTAATGATTGGCATTGTCTTTGATGATGGTTTACCTGCTCGAAGGATTTGAGACCAGCTTCCTTGCCCCACGCTAACATATCGTCCAAAATTAGTCTTTTAACTTCTGGATTAACGCACAAGACGCTAAGCGTGCCGGGGATATTGTTTTCCAGCGCCCAGCACTTGACAACGTCTACGTCTGGTACCACTATTGCTATGATACAGGATTTCAGTGATTCCCCGTGGACGAATACTTGTTGCACATATTGGCTGCGTATATAAATATTCTCGATTTTCTCCGGCACGATGTATTCCCCTTGCGATAACTTAAAGATATGCTTCTTCCGGTCGATTATCTTCAACGTTCCATTCTGAAATGCAAAATGTGATGATTCCAAAACGTTCATCTTGTCGCAAATATTTTACTCCCGTGAGTCTTTAGTAGACGAATCTTTCAGTTGTTCGCGCCACGTGCAGTAAGCTCAATATTTACTGTTATAACCGTGACATAATATATTGTGTTACTTGTAAGTGTTCCGACTAACTTGAACATTCGTGAACTACAAATTTTGTGCATAATCGCGACAGCATGACGCAATACAACGAGAAAAATATTACTTACAGGCTGCCACATCCCGATATCTCCCGTATGATGCCATCCCTGCTCGTCGATAACCTCGGTGGTCTTTTCGACATCCTTGTAATACCCCGTGAAGACGTTAGTGCCCTTCACGCACACCTCACCCTGGTTGTTCGTCGCGTAGTATTCCATCTCCGGGACATCGACGAGCTTCACGCAGCAACATGCTACTGGTGGTCCCACGTGTTCCGGCATATGATCGCCCTACAATCGTCGGCGAGAGGGTGAGTTTGCGTATGTCTTATGTTCTAATCAGTTATATAAAATGTTATGTGCGAGCGTGACACATGATATAGCGACAATGAGCGCGGTGAACGATAGATCTTCCTAATGCTCAAGAGGCGTTCGATAGCGCGCGGAGCTGATGGTCTTGTGATGGAAGACATCACGTGTCCTGGCACATGGTTGTAAAGCTTTGATTCGACGAGCTGACAGAAATATCTACGGCCGCGCGCGACTGCAAGCTCTCGTCACCGTCTATATATCTACGTCGATACTCGCAGACGCGCCAAGAATAGAGAGCACGCGTTGAGCGTGATTATTAGTCAGCATTCAATAAAAACAACGTCTTCGAACTTGCCTGACTGCGCCCGTGGCGAGCCATCTCTCATCGCTTGTTATTTACCGAGGAAAACTTGAATATTGAACGGCGATTTATCGACACTCGTGGATTTTTTGCCCGCGCCAAATCCGATGATCAGCGCGGATCAATTGTCGTGTGCTCGTGCGAACACGCGTGAAGAATCTACGGAATCTCGGCGGAGATCCACGCGCGTAAGTTTTCGCGAGAGAAACGAAATTTAAGCGCATTGTGCTTGTCGCGGTGCCAAGCAACATTTGATAAAGTACGACAGTGTCGCTTTACACGACACTTCAATATTCTTCTATATTCTCTTTCTCCCTCTCTCGCGATTTTCAAGTGTAATGTCGGTCGAATATTTTTATCCTTACGCGAAAAAAGAAACATTTAATTCCGTTAATATAATTGACTTTTCCGTTATTTTATAAGATTAGGAACCAGACGACAAACTTGATTGTCGAGAGACAGAAAGATTTGTAGGTAGTTTCTGCACCGTCAGTTCTTAGTTATTGCAATCAGGTTTTGATACAATTAAATGTTCAGATAAATGTTTTCTGTCTCTGTAACAGAGGTATCACTTCACGTCGCCGAATTTTCATGTGATTCCTAGCCAGCTGCACGAACTGAGATCTTATTCTTCCGTGTACATCTACTATAAAACGACAGTCGTACGAAGCAATACGTTACGATAAACGTTTCTCAGAATAGTTTAACGTTTTTATTGACGATAAAGTTACTTTGCGATAAAAAAAACAAAAAGCACGAAGAAAAACGACGCCTGAAGCAAGTAAGACTTGATGCGCTACATCAGAAAAAAAACCTCGCGTATTACCAATGATGTTTACTTGTCGCGACTGATCTGTGATTTATCGTTAGATGCATTTGTCATCTATTAAACCTGACGGTTTCATAAAAAATGCATCCGCTCAAACGTATACTGACTATTTGTATAACCAGTCGCTGGTAACTATAGATGATCGAGAGAGGAGCGGGGGATTCTCTATAGTGTATACCACATTAGTATATATGCGTGTGCTTACGTATACATATAAATCTTTTTATATATTCTTTGCACGTTCTTCAAACGACGTCGCGTAGACTACGACGTTGCACATTCTTCAAACGACGTCAATGAGCTCGCGAGCGTACGAAACGTTGTTTGTCTAAAGAATATAAAAAGAAATTCGCAAGGGCGAGCTTAGGCTATTCGCGACTTGAGACACGCGTAGAGAAATAAAATGCATAGAATAACCAGTAACAAATGGTTGGGTCATTCAAAACATTGGGTTCGTTTTTCAACAACTGAGGTCATATGAATATAATACAACTGGCAATAATGCTGATAATGTCTAAATATAATAGTATTGATAATATAGCAGTATTGATAATGTTAAATACATACACAGTGTGCCTCAGAATAGTCTTCAAAATTCTCGTGGAAGTATAATATGGAGTGAACATAAAAGTCCTACATTGTAATATTCGCAATAATTATCGAGATTAACTAAAGAAGATCCGTAAATAATCACGCGAGATATCTAATTATTAATTAAAAAAGATTAGCGAATGGTCGTTCACGATAATATATTAATACTAATGATAATATATTAATGACTAAAAATCTACGAAGTTATTGGGAAAAAGGTAGAGGGCTTTTTTGTTCAGTTTGACTTAATGTACAAGCACACGACGGCAGATGTTGCCACTACAGCTCATCTACCATATCTCGCGTGATCATTCACCAATCTTCTTTAATTGATATCACGATTATTATTGTAAATATCGCAAAATAGTATAGGGCTTTTATGTTTCACCTTAATCCATACTGTGTCTCTGTACAAGAGTTTTGAAGGTTGTTCTGAGACACTCTGTATAATGCAAACAACATTGATACAACATTGATACAACATTGATCTGTATAATGCAAACAATATTGATAACGTTCACATACGACTAATGTAAATAACATTGTTGATAACATTCTGCTGCTAGAATGACGACGATCCTTTTACATTAAAGCTTCTGAATATTTGTCGCGGTCATGTTGGGTCGTGACGTCAGAGAAATGATACGCTGAAAATTCTTTTCCGTGTCACGTCTTTTTTTTTCAAAGAAAAAAATATTTTAAGTAAAAGGATAGTTTTCTGAACATTTTACAAGTATACTCAAACGATCTTAAATGTTCTTTCGTGCAAGTATCTTTTCATTTAAAAATGACACGTTGGAATTTTGGACGTGCACTTTCTCGCTTCTAACGCCATTAATCAAGAGTTCCGCGGTGACTAAGGATCTTCACGAGAAAACTGCTTGCAATATTAGAGGATTCGAGAAAACGGAATGCAGTCGAGTCAGAGTTGACTGAAAACTCGAACCGAACTTTTTGGCCGATCCAAGGAAATCGCGAAATACTCCGTCTACGCAAAGAGACGCAAAGCGTAACGTATTCTACGAGATTTAAGTATTCCATTTCAGTATTCCACGATGAGTGAGAGAGAGAGAG